TGACGAGATAAAACCAACAACAACCGTCACAGGCATGAAGTTACCCGACCTAATACCGTACCGAGAGCTGTACATTCATCTCGGCCAGGTGAGCACAACGTACAACATTCAAGGGGGTCACCATTCCACTATACTGAGAGCAGTGCCGGTTAAAACGGAGAAATACAACGACGGTAGAACTGAGTCGTTTTCACCGCGGCAGTATAAGAGGTTGACTCAGGGCAACATACCTGAGCTGATAATATCGGTGTTAGATATAAATCATAATCCCGTCAATATAGGATACCTCAGCTTAACGCTTCACATAAAATGACCAGCGCACAAGGGCCCGGGGTGAAAAAATGCGTCAATGTGGGGATCTCCGACCTCGGGGACACACGCGGTTTCGACGCTCCCGGAGTAGATGGTAAATTGTATGCCTTGCAACTGAAAAACAACATTTACAAACGCGTTGAAGTCCCCTCCGATGGAGCCCTAGGTGATATAGTAGATACCACAACACTGATCATCCAAGTCTACCTAGGGGAACCATCACAGGGTGATGTCGAGATCGTGAAGGGGATCAAACTCAGGTGGGCGAAACGACACCAGTATCACGTTTGCACAGTTTACGTGCGGGTGGGTGTCGGCTCCAACACCAGTCTGCAGGGTGTCACCGTGATCGTGGAAGACACGATATCACTAACCAAGATCTTCCTACCTGGCAACATACACTTCATGGGGGTGAAGTTCACCCCTGAACTATTATCAGAAAACCAGTTGGAAACTATATCGTAATAGTATTATAGCAATGACCAGTCATCGCCCCAACACTACGCTTAATGACCTAGGGGACACGGAGGGATTCGATCAGCCTGGTGAGGAAGACACCTTGTACGCCCTATTATTTAAAAACGGTGTGTACAAACGGCAGGACCTTGCAGACTTAAAGGAGCCCAAATGGGTGATCAACCATCACCGCACCTTATATCTCACTAGACAAATATGGCTATGTCTCTGAAATTAGGAACAACGGTACCTTGATCACGTCTTTCATTCCAACTGAAAAGATGATAGTTTCTAACTCTGAATATTTGCTTAAGGACACCCTGTTAATTTCATCCAGTCAGTCCCAGTTAAAAGCCACCCCCCATCATACCATAGCAGGGGTTAGGGCTATGGCCCCAGAATCCACACTCATCGTAGAAGTCGCTCACAATGGTAAGTTTGATGATTCGGACGGCGTTGACCCACCCCCAAACTTGCAACTTTTACCCGGTGTAACAATACGTTGGGGTGACTCCTACGCATCAGATTTCGTATATTGCCGTATCGTTATACGATTGGGGGACTCCCAACAGGGATTACTACCCCCCATAATAAACGGCTATGGTGTTGATATAGACCAGAAGTTACCTATTGACCCTTCCCGTATCTACACATACAAGAATCTAAGTTTTATAAGCCTCAGGTACGTTGACCGACTATTAACTGAAACCCAATTAAAATATCTTTTGTAATATATATTTTAGGATGGGGCTATACCCAGTCGTAGAGGAAGAAGCGAAGACCCTGGAAACCGTAGATGGGTTCCGTTTGAGACAGTTATGTGATGTGAAACGCCAACTAGAACAAGACCGCGACACGCGTAAAGCACTATGTAAGAAGTACCATAGAGCTTTCAATATCGTGGACGGGGCTGATACTGCCCTTATGGCAACCAGCATGGGGCTAGGGGCGGCAGGTGTTGGGTTGTTAGCTACCATCGTGGCTACCCCCGTAGTGCTAGGCATTGAAATAACAGCTGGGGTGGCAGGGGTGTTAGGGTTGGCGCTTAAGTTTGCATCCCGCAGACTGCATCGTAAGGCATTGAAACACGACGAGATCAGGGTTCTGGCTGAAGCAAAGCTGAACACAGTAAGTGAGCGTATTTCCATGGCACTCACTGACAGTAAGATCTCAGAGGAGGAGTTTCGTTCAATCCTCTCTGAACTCACAAAATATAACAAAATGAAACAAGAGATTCGGTCCAAGTCTCGTAAGTCTGCTATCAGCGAGGATGAGAAAAAAAAGTACATAGAACAAGGGGTGAAAAAAGCCCAGCAAGCCTTTATTACAAACACCAAAGAGATCATAGGCGATTCACATTAAACTGTTTCATCGAGGTAAACATGGCATAGCGGCACAATAGTGTCATAGCGGCACGTGGAGCGATGATGCAATCCCAGGATAGACCCGTTAAACCAACATACTTCAACCATGTCCCCAGTAGCTCAGTCGGTTAAGCGGCGTGGTTGTGAGGTATACATGTGGAGCTAGCGTCCTAAACTTTTTCATAGTAGGGCTAATGGCAGCAAGAGCTAAGGGTCCGACCAAAGCCTTATTTGGGAAATAAGGCTTTGCAAAGGCTTTTGTTGAAAGTGATCCAAAACCCCCATTCCCTATACTACTCACAACAGATGTTCTATATCCTGCAGTTTATGCCAAATATCATGTTACTGGGGTGTCATGTCCCACAACAGATGTTCTATATCCTGCATTGTATGCCATCTCCCCCGACACAGATATTCTTTATCATGCTACTGGGGTGCCATGCCCCCTACAGATAGTCTATGTCATATTACTGGGGTGTCATGTACCACAACGGATGTTCTATATCCTGCAGGGTATGCCATGTCCCCCTACAGATAGTCTATATCAAGCTACTGGGGTGTCATGTCCCACAACACATGTTCTCTGTGATGCTACTGGGGTGCGATGTCCTCTACAGATAGTCTATATCATGCAGGGTATTTCATGTCTGCTTACAGATGTTCTGTATCATGCTACTGGGATGGCATGTCTGCTACAGGCGTTCTATATTATGCAGGGTAGTGCATGTCCCTATACAGATAGTCTATGTCATGCTACTGGGGTATCATGTCCCACAACAGATGTTCTATATCCTGCAGGGTATGCCATGTCCCCCTACAGATAGTCTAGTTCATGTTACTGGGGTGTCATGTCCCACAAGAGATGTTCTATATCATGCAGAGTATGCCATATACCCCTACAGATAGTCTATGTCATGCTACTGGGGTATCATGTCCCACAACAGATGTTCTATATCCTGCAGGGTATGCCATGTCCCCCTACAGATAGTCTAGTTCATGTTACTGGGGTGTCATGTCCCACAACAGATGTTCTATATCCTGCAGGGTATGCCATGTCTCCCTACAGATAGTCTATATCATGCTACTGGGGTGTCATGTCCCACAACAGATGTTCTATATTCCGCAGGGTATACCATGTCCCCCTACAGATAGTCTATATCATGTTACTGGGGTGTCATGTCCCACAACAGATGTTCTATATCCTGCAGGGTATACCATGCCCCCCTACAGATAGTCTATATCTTGTTACTGGGGAGTCATGTCCCACAACACATGTTCTCTGTGATGCTACTGGGGTGCGATGTCCTCTACAGATAGTCTATATCATGCTACTGGGGTGTCATGTCCCACAACAGATGTTCTATATTCCGCAGGGTATACCATGTCCCCCTACAGATAGTCTATATCATGTTACTGGGGTGTCATGTCCCACAACAGATGTTCTATATCCTGCAGGGTAGCCCATGTCCCCTTACAGATAGTCTATATCATGTTACTGGGGTGTCATGTCCCACAACAGATGTTCTATATTCCGCAGGGTATACCATGTCCCCCTACAGATAGTCTATATCATGTTACTGGGGTGTCATGTCCCACAACAGATGTTCTGTATCCTGCAGGGTATGCCATGTCCCCCTACAGATAGTCTATATCATGTTACTGGGGTGTCATGTCCCACAACAGATGTTCTGTATCCTGCAGGGTATGCCATGTCCCCTACAGATAGTCTATATCATGTTACTGGGGTGTCATGTCCCACAACACATGTTCTCTGTGATGCTACTGGGGTGCGATGTCCTCTACAGATAGTCTATATCATGCAGGGTATTTCATGTCTGCTTACAGATGTTCTGTATCATGCTACTGGGATGGCATGTCTGCTACAGGCGTTCTATATTATGCAGGGTAGTGCATGTCCCTATACAGATAGTCAATGTCATGCTACTGGGGTATCATGTCCCTCAAGAGATGTTCTATATCATGCTATAGTTCCCTATACAGATAGTCTATGTCATGCTACTGGGGTATCATGTCCCTCAAGAGATGTTCTATATCATGCTACTGGTGTGTCATTTTCCCCTACAGATGTTCTATCCCATGCAGGATGCTGCTTGTCCTCCTTCAGGCGTGCCATGTTATGTTTGTCACTGCTGAAATGTTTTAACAAGTACATTGTACTTCATTTGCTTAGTTTGTAGATGCCCAAAAGTGTTTCCTTTGCCGTTGGGATGGTAGTTTCAAATATTAGCAAATCTTCTATTACCATGTGTAACACCGAATGTTTAGCCTTGTGATGTTTCATTGTCATATCTATCATGTATGTCGAGTGAGTGAGTGAGTTTAGTTTTACGCCGCACTCAGCAATATTCCTGCTATATGGCGGCGGTCTGTAAATAGTCGAGTCTGGTCCAGACAATCCAGTGATTAACAACATAAGCATCGATAAGCGCAATTGGGAATCAATGACTTGTGTCAACCAACCAAACAAGCGAGCCTGTCCACCCGATCCCGTTTGTCGCCTCTTACGACAAGCATGGGTTACTGAAGTTTCATTCTAACCCGGACCTTCACGAGTTCATGTTTGTCGAAGTGTCAAATGGCGAATCAAGGCACTGTAAGCTGTTTGAGATAGTGTATGGTACATGTGTGCTTATGGTGGCATTTTGTTCACTAAGGGCGGGTGAATTACCCTGTCTACAACGCCAGATTTACAAGATTGCATGTGTATATCGTGTGTGTAAGACTTACCGTCTTATGAGAGAAGAACAGAGGACAATGCTACTTGAACATTGCCTCTCGATACGATTTCGGGCCTTTCATTTAACATCAATCAAAAATTGCAATATATTCCAAAATGTATCGTTTTACTTGTTGGTCTGTTCTGTGTCTTCTGCTGGCTTTCAGCACCGTCACTGGATGTTGATGGCTGGATCACCTGTTGACCACCCATAGATACATTGTGTGCGGTAAGATTGGCCACCTCAGTCTTCTTTGTCAAGTTGAGCTGTGGGTTGTTGATTACTGAAAGAAGAGAGTAGGGCTTCAGTGGTTGCTCCGTGTGGATGACTGGAACACGGGATGCGTACATAGACATCAAAATGTAAACGTAAGACACCCTGTTGTTGGTGTTTGTTTCTCATATATTACTCTGAACAACCTCCCTACGTCGATTCGCATCGCATCTTGCTACACATGTGCTAATGGGAAGAAGGAAAACGACAAATATATCTGTTTCATTCTCCCATTGTTAAGCTTTGACAGATAATGCGTGTGTGTAGGTTTTGCATCAAATGAGACACATTTTCCCTTAAAATGTAACGTGTGTTGTAACAAAGTGATGTAGGGTAGTAAGCCAATTTCCCCAAAGGGCAGCTGCGCTCAGTGCATAGCCAGTCTTTGATGTTTTAACACATTTACACATCCATAACTGCAACCATAAATGAATCAAAACCTTCCTGAATCTAACATATAAGTATGATATGTATTGACATATTGACATATAATCAAAACTTATACCTACGTATATTTGTTACTCGCTGTTCGGTATTCACTGATGACATGGCGTTGCTGAATGTTTCTGCTATAGCATGCGTCAAGTCTTGCGTTTCGCCTGCAGTAGAAACAACCCACGTGTTTTAAAAGATAATATACAGAAATAAGGTCAATTGTTTATGGAAAATCAATGACTTACTTCAAATCCTTCGCACAAACTCACCTTGTGTCAGTGCCACAGCTCCCTGCAGAGGCGATGGAGACATATTCGTTTGTCCATCGTCGTTTTGATGAGTAACATCTGTGTCTTCACGTGTTTCCGTTTTGTGGTGGTTGTTTCTGTGATATATAGCCTCCAAAGGAGGAAGGAAATCGTTGCTGATACGAACCGTCTCCTGCTCTTCCTCCTCCTCCTCCTTGGCAACATCACTTCCTGAATCGCCCGTGGAGTAATAAAGGCCTGGTGTAACCTCCCCTGTGTCATCGCTGTCGGCACCATCAGAGTCTTGGCGAGAGGGTGAGCTCATTTTGTAACATGTACCACTACCCTTTTCTGGAATTCAGTGGTATAAAGCATAAGTATAAACCGAATAGGTAATGTCTCAGACAGTACTCACATGGCTTCATGTGTTCATAAGGATCAAGTGCCTGAATTTAGTTCAAAGAAGTCAAGCTGAGTAAAACAACCTTCATGCATGGTTCAGTAAGATATTTACATGATGCTGTAATTCAATGTGAAAGAGTGATGTAATTGTATCACATTGTTTCTGTGTAGGTTCATTAAATGGTAAGAAGATTATGTTTCTAAACAATCAGTTGTCAGCAAGGCATTACTTCCTAATGTAAGCAGTGGTGTGGAAGTCTATTTTTAGATTCCTTTTCGGTCAAGTGTAATCTGGAATCTTCTAGAACACAGTGGTCTAGTCACCCACAGTTTGGACGTACCAAAACTCACCAGTTCATAACCAGCTGGATGATAAGTACGCGATGTGTCATGAAGAAATAGTGAAGGGATTTGCAAGTCTTACAACATTTCATCGTACAAGTTCAATGCTATTTTGATCCCTGCATTATCTGGGTTGTTCTTTCTTGGCTTTCCAAGTATACTGGTATACTGCAGGTTTACTCAACACGAATCTCTAGTCTCTAGAATTAATACAAATTTTGTGCTATCGAAGCAATTTCCGACTTTTAGATGGAAATATATACTTGGAGAGAGTTTAACAGGATGGTCAAACGAATGTCATTATATAAAATATTGTCGGACAAAATCCAAAATGTCTGGTTGAGTAACTGGAGAAACTGAACATTAGAGTGAACACGTATCGTTGAAGAAATGCTGTTTCGGGTTGAGTAATGTAAAGTCCGTTAATCTGTGAGCATGGTAAAGTGCAAACGTCATAGTTAAGGAAAACAGCAAAACAAACCTGGACAAGTGTTGAACTCTACTATCAACTACACGAACACCAATTTCGAGCACATTAGTTTGACTGACTGACTGACTGACTGACTGAGTATGGGTTTACGCCGTTTTTAGCAATATTCCAGCAATATAACGGCGGGGGAAAACAGAAATGGGCTTCACACACTGTACCCATGTGGGAAATCGAACCCGGGCCTTTGGCACATTAGTTTGAATAAACATAACTGGTTAGACATAACAAACCTTTTCGACATGGTCAGCATGGGGGTACTGTTGTAGCCAGGATTCTAAACTTAATAAAACATTCAGGTATTATCATTTGTGGTGACAAGCTTCTTTCGGCCTTATTGGCTGGTCAAGGGATTTCAGTGAAGATATTCATAGTATAAAATAAACTGTTTTGTATTTTTTAGCACGGAAGGAATTGAAGCTTTCTGAAAGTTCACAAACTCTAAGTAAAAGTCTCCATGGCAGTACAAAATTGAGTGGCAGTACAAAACCAAAGGCAGTATATTACATTACGCCGCTAGGGTATGTTATGTCCATTGTTCTGGCAGGTTGATGTTCTGTGTATCAACCTTCTATCTGCACGTGCAGAGGTTGATATGTGGATAACAACCGGGTATGTTATTTGGCAGCTGGACTGTCTTACCTAGGGTAGATAAGTCAGACTTCGGCTTCGCCTCTGCCATTGACTTATCTCCCCACGGAATTTTGGACATCGGTAATTTTTCAAATATTGTTTCTCGGCTTCGCCTCGAAACAATATTTGAAAATTACCTCTAAAAAAGTGTCAAAAAGGGTGTGAATACGGCGATACCGTCCAGGTGCCAATTTAAAATAACAACATGAACAAGAATGTTTTTACATTTATTCCATTGTGAAATTTACAACGCAGTTTTCGATGGGAATCTGGTGCCTGGTTTGTGCTGCCGCCAGCGTGACGGTGGAGCTTGAGGTTCCAGAGGTGGTGTTGCTGTGTCCCTGGCCTGGCCTGGATACGGTCTCCATTGACTCTATCACTCCCAGTTGCTCGTCATTCAGTATGGCGTTTACAGTGGCCTTCTGGTCCTCACTGGTTCTGGTGTAACTGCGCACACTTGTTTGAAAGGAAATTGGATCAAATTAGTATATGTAACGTATGTAGTTAGTCTCAACATTACGACTTTAGTTTGAAACAAACGAACTTCCTCCACTTAAATGATTGTTTTACTGAAAAGTAAATACACACCTGTGACGCTCCTGTGTCCAGTTCGTTCCATTATCAATGGTTCGCTAACCCCAGCCTGGTACAGTCGGGTTGCAGTGGTAACCCTAAGTGAGTGGTTCGTCTTGTAGCCCTTTACACCAGCGTTGTGACACATTTCCGGGACAATTTTCTGTAACGTGTTGTGACCTAGTGGTTGTCGGAAGTACCTGGAACATGGGAGAATTTGTAATTTATAGACTCTGGCCAATCCAATACTGAACATTGGGTGTATTACATGTTTTTAATAAATATTTTTTATTTTATTTTTATTTTTAACAATAAATCTGCTATTCATTGACTTGAAAGTGCTTTAAATCAGACGGCTGTAATATAATGGTACGTCTCCATGTGAACAAGAGCTTCTATACAAATGTGACTTCATATATAGGATAAAGTATATACACTAGTTTGAACAAATGGTCTGGTTTGAATGTGAAATAGTTTTCATTTCGTTGATCAAAAATATTTATTTTAACAAAATCTTGATGAATTTTTGGATATGAATGCATCTCTGACATTGCCACATTAAAACCCGAAGTTGTAAACTCACGAAACACTTACCAACACTTATCTGTCGGAGACTGAAAAGCTTGAAGATACAAAGCGTCATCATGGCCGTCTTGGTGACACTGTGATAAGTACTTCTTAAACAGACGAACATGACATCGGGCAGGATTACTACCTGTGTGATGTTCGATCTCTTTAGGGGTAACTCTTCTATGCTTCAGGCCCCTTGCACAGTTTTAGAGTAATCTTCCCGGTAACACAAGTACTCGTGTCCTTCAGGACTCGTCTTCAGGGATATTTGTGAGTTTTTGTGCTTTAGCTTTCTGTGTTCGTGGCCACTACGAAGTCTAAAATGTTTGCCATTCAGGTAAAGCAAGGTGTTCACCAGTACTCGCGGGTTCTGGTCTCCAAGTTGACCACTCCTCCATAGCAGCTCCTCCTCGTCAACACTGATAGCTTCAGCTTTCTTAACGCTTTGTCCCAACCCCTTACGTGTCAGTCTTTTCATCTCTCCGTCAAGAACCTGGCGGAATTCTTCGAACACATCAGACTGGAGAAATTCAACATTTCGTTTAGAAACAGTCTTTATGTATGGTTGTATACCCATAAGTATTTGAAAGAGTGAATTTGGGGGGTATTCCCAGCCATCTTTTTTTTAACTTCCAGAACAAACTTCGACATGAAATAAGCCAACTCGTCAAGTCCCATATTTTCCAAAACAGTAACCGGTTTTCGTCCAGCCCACCTCCGATTATTTACGGCGATAGCCAAGGCAGTAAACGTGTTGTACGCCCATTTATCCCGTCGCTGGGTGTTAGTAGGCACAGAATCCAACGCACGTTTCTCAATTTCACCATCATTAGCTTCATAAAAACGTTCTGCAGTTTTACCTTCTTCTTTTTCAATAATTTGAGATGCTTGAAACAATTCAAAATCGCTATCGTTATAAATAAGGCTTGCCTCCGCTTCTTGTGAGGCCCGACAAAGCTCATCGTCTGAATTCATCTTGCACAATGATTTCTCTTCCCAAAACCAAGTGTACACGTAACCTTGGCGGTGCAGGAAACGCACGTGCAACAAGCAATGGACGAGTCCATTCGGCGCCCACGTGGTGTAAGTAGGTTAGCACCACCCTCTGCGGGTGCTAACGTATACAGAGCAGTGACAATGATGTAATATTCATCAATGCTGGTCATCTGGTAACATGATGTGTAATGTGACATGAGAGGCCATGGCCAGCTCCCCGTCTATACAGACAAATACTTCGTTAGAAACAGCTAGACTGTTGTCTGCATCAGCAAAGGGTCTTAGGACATTCAAACACACTCTTGGAAAGTCACGATAGAGCACACCACTGCCAATTTCGAACTCTCAAGGTACTCCTCGTTGTGAGTGCTGCGTAACGCTAACAGCTCTTCCCCCTGTGGACCCGGGGGAGAATAGGTCCGCAGCATCCCACTGCTGGTTGTAAAGGGCGACCAAATTGGGCAACCTGTGTCGGTGGAGGACGGGATTCTGGAGGTTGATGTCCACACCACTTTGACCATTACTTCACGGCGGGTGGTAGTATGGGTCCGGTTCGGCTCGTCATGCCCACCTTGTGTTACAGTGAGTGAGTGAGTGAGTTTAGTTTTACGCCGCACGCAGCAATATTCCAGCTATATGGCGGCGGTCTGTAAATAATCGAGTATGGACCAGACAATCCAGTGATCAACAGCATGAGCATCTATCTGTGCAAGTGGGAACCGATGACATGTGTCAAACAAGTCAGCGAGCCTGACCACCCGATCCCGTTAGTCGCCTCTTATGACAAGCATGGGCACATTGTACTGAAGGCACATTCTAACGCGGACCTTCACGGGTCCCCTGTGCTACATGTATGCGGTGTTGCCCAAAATTGATTAAAAACAATGATAGCTTGTTTTCTCTTAGTGCTGTGGTTACTACTCAGTGGCGATGGGGTAGCCTAGTGGTTAAAGCGTTGGCTCGTCATGCCGAAGACCCAGGTTCGAATCCTCACATGGGTACACTGTGTGAAGCCCATTTCTGGTGTTCCCCCGCCGTGATGTACCTGGAACATTGCTAAAAGCGGCGTAAAACTACACTCAGTCAGTCAGTCAGTCAGTTACTACTCAGCTTGCGTGTTCTTAAGAAGCCATTCTCAAAGCAGTAATTTAAACCCATATTTAGCTAGACTTGCTTAGATTTTAGACTGCATACAAGGCATCATATATATGTTACAGGACTCCAAGCCCCATTAGCGCATTGATTCACCACTTGCAAATAATTGTTGGCAGATGTAAATGTTACTGAAGGTGTTGGTCCTGCCAGCCATGGGAGTTTGGTATGTTTACTCTGTGACCCGAAGCCTGAT